AGTAGAAGGCAGAAGCCAGATAAACAGCAGCAGAGGCTGGGAGAAAGCAGAAGCTGGCATCCACTGAGCAGAGAAGTGGCAGCAGAGTGGTCTGAGACGAGTGGGCCGAGAACTGTTAACATGCTTAGGGCTGCGAAAGAGACCCGTGTGTGCGTGTCACAGCTTCCTTGCATGAGACACCCAGACTATGCTGCAAACAACAGCCATTTAACATAAACCATCACATTTATTCGAAGTGCCACACAGAATGCTGATGGTCAGAAAGGGGTGTAACTCAAGGACAAGGAAGAGTGGTTGATGTGAGCTACAGATATGGCCGGTCGTAGTTGGGTGCCAAGTCGATCCCATGTGACAGAGTAGAACTCCCTCATAGGGTTTTCTAGGCTGTACTCTTTACAGAAGCAGATCACGAGGTCTTTCATCCGCAGAGCCACTGAGTGGGTTCGAACTGCTGCTCTTTTGGGAGCTTAACTATATGGCAGCCAGGGACAAGCCAGGCAGGAGATGTCTCGTGTTTGAATGCCTCCACTTGGAATGAGACCAGGCAAGCCCACCCTCGAGGGAACCACACAAAAATATCACGAGGTCAAGCGAGGATTTGCTTGAGCAAAGATGAGTCTTGAATTCCCATAATGTGTGGTCTATGGCCACCACCACCACCAGATGCCATTGAGTTGACTCCCACTGGAGGCAATCCCATGTGTGTCAGAGTATAACTGTGCTCCAAAGGATTTTCAATGTCTGATTTTTAGGAAGCAGACTGCCAGGCTTTTCTTCCGAGGTGACTCTGGGTGGACCTGAACCTCCAACCTTTTGGTTAGCAGCTGAGGACATTAACCATTTGCACCACCCAGGGACTCCTGTAAAGGGCCAGATAGTATTTTAGGCTTTGTAGTCCACATACGGTCTCTGTGGCACTTTTTTTTTTTCTTCTAGCAACTCTTTTAAACTGGAAAAACCATTCTTAGCTTACAGGCTGTACAAAAAGGGGCTACAGGCCAGCTTTCACCCCCAAGATGTGGTTTGCCATCCCCATAGGGTTGCTATGAGTCGGAATCGACCCGACGGCACTGAACAACATAACAGGTGAAGCAAACGGTTTGTGTTCGACTATTAACCTAAAGGTTGGCAGTTTGAACCCACTCAACCAAACTGTGGAAGGCAGGCCTGGCAATCTGCTTCCATAATTATTACGGCCAAAAAAGCCCTATGGAACAGTTCTACTCTGTAACACACGGGGACGCCATGACCTAGAATCAACTTGAAGGTAACAGGTTTGGTTTGATCTAATCTCTTCTCCCAGTACCACTACTTAATTTT